TTTACTTCAATAGTGAAAAGGAGTTAATCATAGGTATGTATGTGGATGACCTCCTTGTAATGTCCAGCAAAGTCTCCATCACTCAGGAATTTAAGGACAATATTGCAGCCACATTTAAAATCAAGGACTTGGGAGAAATATATCACCTTATTTCAGTTAGGATAAGCAGAAGGGAAGATGGCTCAATTACTTGCTATCAAAGTGAGCTCTAGGAAAACAACTGATATGCTAGATGCTAAAGAGCATCAACTCCATTAGACCCAAGTATGAAATATACACCAGCAGTTAGGGGTAACATGTTGGATGTTGAAGGAGCACTAAAATATGGGCAGGCTGTTAGAGGACTTTTATACCTGGCAGGAAGAACAAAGGCCAGATTCAGCCTTTGCTGTCACTTACATGACACAGTTCAATAGTTGTCCCAACCAAGGAACATTGGGCTGGCATTAAACATTTTCTTTGCTACCTGAAACAGATCAAAGAATTAAAACCGACTTTCCAAAAGACTGGAAAGGATTTTGTGATTCCATCTGGATTGGCGATAAGATCAATAGATAATCATTTAGTGGCTATGTTGTATTGCTAGAAAGTGGAGCTGTCTTATGCTGCACTGAGAAGCAACAACTTTGTCCACAGTTGAAGGTGAGTACTTCTCAATGTGCCACGCAGCCAAGGAAGTGCTGTGGTTCCAAAACTTTTCATAAGAAACTGTGGGAGAACATTTTTTTAACTACCATAAAACATAGTTGTTGACAATGAGAGTGCCATTTCTTTAGCTGCAAACCATGTTACACCAGAGTTATTCAAATCAGAAAGAGAAACATATTCAACTCAGGCATTTTTTCTTAAACGAGAAGGTTGACGAGAAGTTGCTGAACTTCACCTATGTGCCTTCCACTTCAAATTCAGCGGATGTTGACTAACAGTCTGCAAATGAGAGCCTTGTATAACCAAAAGTTAGTATAGCATTGAGGGAAATTTAGCGAAGGAGGGATGTTACAAATAATTTTTAAATTTGTGATTATATTTTCCATTATATTGTTACGAAATGTACAGGCGCGGTAAGATGGCTTCCCAGCAAAGCAGTTTTAAGGTCGCCATAAAATGGCATAGGAAGGCAGGGTTGCCACATTTGGCGAGAAATCGCCCATTTGGCGACCACATTGGCGATATGCCATGGACGGATAGAGAACCTTCTGGAACAAATTCTTACCGGTTTAGCCCAGAATGTTCTCGAACACCAGCCAAAAGCTATATAAACCCTGCTGGTACGCGGAGAGTTATCGAGCATCGATAGTTAGTATTGAGTGTGTGCCTCTTCGACAGGGCGAATCAGAGTGTGTCTCATCTAGTTAGTCCGTGCGGAGACGATCGAGTTGACAGCTAGGCAGCGAGTGCCGAGTGGGTTGTCGAGTGCATCGAAGAATCTCTTAGTGTATCGTGGTTAGTGCATCGTCGAGAGAGAGTGTTGAGCTCCGGAAAAGACCAAACTGAAGAGTCAGGAGCTGTGGTCTGTGTGCGTCGAGTGCATCGCGAGTTGTAGTGTGAAGAGTCTCGAGAGTACGTGGAGTTCCGAGAATGACCCAGCATAGTCTGGAGCTGTACTCTGGTGCTTTGCAGTGAAGCTGTCTCCACTGTTATAGCCTGATAACCTGAAAGCTGTGTCGCTGATCGTGTCAGCGTGTTTATAACAGGTCGACGACTGTGAACATGACTTTGGAGCTGTCCTGATTAATATTGGCTAAATAAAATATATGTCCTGATTAATATTGGCTTGGTTACTTCATCAAGCGCTGACGTCGTTATTCACCCCAAATCCACACGAACCCCGTACGAATGTGAAGAAAGAAAATAACGTAACACCTGGTGTCAGAAGAAGAAAACGTAACAACTGGTGTCAGAAGTGGGATTTGCGACTGAATGCAGTGATCCGCCTGCCGAGGAAAGCCTGGGCGGAGGAAACGAAGACTATGATGGTTTTTTTAGCCGAGATAAAAGCCGGATATGAAGAGATGAAGGCTGAAATGAAAGCCGGACTGGCTGAGATAAAAGCCGGATATGATACGCTGAAAGCTGGACGGGAAGAGGTAAAAGCTGGATACAAAAAGATGACAGCTGAGATCAAAGCCGGAGTGAAAGAGATGAAAGTCGGACTGGAAGAGAAGAAAGCCCGACGAGAAAAATAAATGTCGGCCAAGAAAAGGTGCGAGAGCTACTCCAACAGGTGAAAGTGGAGCTTACAGAAGAAACTGGAGCTATAAAAGACGATATGGAAATGATAGAAATGGTATCTGAAGAATCAAAGGATGAAGAAATGAAGGAAGTAGCTAATGAACTGTCTGAGGAAAATCAAGAAATGAAAGATGAAACAACAAACGAGATTGAAGAAAAAGAACGAAAATACGAAGAAATAAAAGACGGGAAAGAAGTTCCTGATACTCAAATGCTTGAAGTACAGATGGAAGAACGCGAAAATGCGGCAGTAAACTTGGTAGAAACTGATAGTGAAGTTATGAAGGCGCAGTTAGCGAGTATTGAACCATCTGAAAATGCATGTGATGCAGAGATGAGAAGTTGATGTGCAGCGTAAGCAGTGTACTCCAGTATTGCAAGAAAATTCACCCACTTTGCAAACTATGTGTGCGTCTCATAGTACAAATTTTGCAGACAATGACTTGATTTATGATGCTTCTGTTTGTAAAGAATCGGGTTCCGTTCATGACTCTGATGCAGAATTTGAAGCTGGTTCCCAGGAAACGGGGGGAAAACGAGTATGTACCAGCTGCTAAAAATACCGAGGTAAACTGTATGCATGCTGTAACAGAGCTACCGAGGTGAACTGCGATTGAACTACAGAGTGGTGAACAAACTGTTTCACATCTTCCTGTGGATGACTAGTCTGAAAGGACTATATCTTCAGATTGTGATATGCAAAACAGGAATGCATCTGAAAACTGCAGTGGAAAAGTATTTGACCCGGCCATAAATTAATGAAAAGATTGAGACTGAAATTCATTCTGAACCTTTAATTTTGTAGAAATTTAAAATTGTTATGTGCTTAATTTGTGTATATAACTTGTACATAGTGTAAATGTTTGTTTTTTTAGTTATGTTGTTTATTTTATGACGTTTTGTTTGTATTAAATTTGGCTTCTGACCAAGGGTTGTACTGCCCGGGATGTGCAGTCCTTGGGAGGGGGCAGTGTTACGAAATATACAGGCGCAGTAAGATGGCTTCATCGCAAAGCAGTTTTAGGGTTGCCATAAAACGGCAAGGGAAGGCAGGGTTGCCACATTTGGCGAGAAGTCACTCATTTGGCGATATGCCATGTACAGATGGAGAACCTTCTGGAACGAATTTTTACCGGTTTAGCCCAGAATGTTCTCGAACACCAGCCAAAAGCTAGATAAACCCTGCTGGTACGCGGAGAGTTAGTATCGAGTGTGTGCCTCGTCAAGAGGGCGAGTGTGTCTCATCTAGTTAGTCCGTGCGGAGACGATCGAGTTGACAGCCGGGCAGCAAGTGCCGAGTGGGTCGTTGAGTGCATCGAAGAGTCTCTTAGTGTATTACGGTTAGTGCATCGTCGAGAGAGCGTGTTGAGCTCCGGGAATGACTGAACCGAAGAATCGGGAGCTGTGCTCTGTGTGCATCGCGAGTTGTAGCGTGAAGAATTTCGAGAGTACGTGGAGTTCCGAGAACGACTGAGCAGAGTCAGGAGCTGTACTCTGGTGCTTTGCAGTGAAGCTGTCTCCACTGTTATAGCCTGATAATCTGAGAGCTGTGTCGCTGATCATGTTTATAACAGTTCGACGACTGTGAACATGACTTTAATGTCATGTCCTGATTAATATTGCTAAATAAAGTGACTGTCCTGATATTGTCTCCAACAATATTTTTGCAACCTTGTGCAGCGAAACGGTTTTTTACTTTTCTTTTTGGCAATAGTTTCAGCAGTTGTCACTATAGTTTCTTTACTATGTTCTCTTTGTGTGTTTAATAAATATATGTTAATTCAGATAATATTTTTACTTTTGTCTCCGTTTGTATCGTTAGACTAACAGGTTTCCCACTGTTCAGTTTCCTTTGCATCTGATATCTGATAGTGAGATCTCTGAATAAGGTTCACAATAGCTGCAGTACTGTTGCCTCAGTGTCCTTGAAGCTGATAAGCGACCTTAGGGATCGAATTGGCAGCACAGAAATTAAACATCATACTGCCACAGTAATAGTGCACTTTGGTCTTCATTACCAACATATAGATTTGTTTTCTGGTGCATTTGCTGATTAGTTATGAAGCCATTCCTACCCAATATGAGTCTAGAGTTGAAATGACATATTTTGGTCAAAACAGCACATATATATTTTTTTTCTCTTGCAAGAAAAATTTCTGCCAGTCCTTAATAAAATGATAATAACTAAATGGTAATAAACCTTTTCTATACAACCAACTTAAGAATGAATTTTACTTAGTTTTAAATTATTGAAATTTTTACAGGCTAATTTTCATACCACTTTTGGTTAACAAAAGAGATCAGCATAATTACGTGAGAATTAAGAAAGTCGAAAGATGCTTTTAATTCAGTTCTTTACATTCAGCAAAAGAAAACAGTCTAAAAGTGTTTTCATTTGGTTTTGGTGATATTGCTCAGAAATGTGAATTGAAATCCTTTAAATAGTACCTGCGATTAGGAAATCAAAAAGTTATTATAAACTTAAGTAAATTTTGATTGATGCAAATAAAATACATGACAGTGTTTTACTTTTTAAAAATACCTTAAAATTCAGTTATTTTTACATACATAAACTCTTTTGAGTTGCTCACTTCAATTATTTCCTTAATTCATAATTAAAGATAATAGTAAATATAAATAATTCAAATTGTTAAAATGAATTTTTCTTGTATAAGGGTATAATTCAAATGCACATGAAGAAAAAATATCCAGATTTAAATTCTTTTTGTGGAAGTATATTTAATTAAATAACAAAAGAACACAACAAATAAATATTTTTCATTTTGTATAAAAGTTTATTTGATGATCTTTGATACAAATATACAATACAAGCAGTAATTCCTGTATGTATTTACAATATAATTTTGTTTTCAGTAAAATAAGTGCTGAAAGACATGACTAGTACAAAGATTTTCTTCCCAATACCCTGAACTTGAAATATGACATATTGATTTTAAATAAGGGAATAGTAAACTAAATACAAAAACAGAAATATTTTCTCTATTAGCCATATATATGTATTATACAGGTATGTATGTATGTATTAACTTTTATACCTGATGTTAGCAAAAGAAAACTAAGTACTAACAAAACTAAAAACAAAATTTTGGCACAATAAAATTTTGCAGGAAATCAGTTAAATGCAAATAAAATGTTATACACAAAAACATTTTGTACAGAAAGGACACACAGTGGAATAATATATTAATAAATGCCTTGATGGAATGACTTAGAAGAAAAATTTGTACAGAAATATTATGCAGTGCAGTTGTGACATAAATCAGTGAATGCACTTAACTATAAAAGATGAAAACAGGTGAATATTCAGGTTTGCATGTTTACTATATCACTTTTAAAATGGATTTATGTAGGTTCATTGTTCACTTTAAAATGTAGGTTCAACACAAATACATAATAAGTCAATATGTCTCATAAAGTAACAAGCAAATGGACCAGCCATCACAATAAGGGATATTAATTTCACTGTTCTTTTTCCAAGAATGCATATACATCACCAGTGCAGATTTTATAGGTCATTATATCCTTAATCTCGAAATTAAGTATCATTTGTTGAAATAAATTAATGAAAATGGCCTGTACAATAAAATAGTCACAGCACTGTACAGAGACTTCCATGATGCTCTTTGTTTGTGCGTTTGAATCGAGAACAATCTGCTGAAACTTTCTTCCGCTTCACTTCACCAGCATATTTCTTTTCTTCCGCTTTTGATATCTCTGCTGTGGCTGTCTGGAAAATAACAAACGCTCTAAATAAAGAATTAAAAGAAATAATTTAAATTCATGCACACAGAAGTGCATTTGCATGTTAAAGCAACATTTTTACTGAGGGAAAATGGCTATAAATAATATTCTTTCTACAACACCAGATGTACAATGATATGATTGCAAAATTTACTTCTAGTTAAAAGAAAGTGTCAGTATATTTTTTAAAATTTAGCAAAATTTAGTTACATATTTAGTAAAGATAAAGAGCAGCAGTATGTTACAGAGAATGATCAAGTTTGAAGCACTGTGCTCTAAAACTGTCAAACTATTAAATGCTAAAAACATTCACATTCAAAAATTTAAGCACATATCTTGCCCTCAAGATAGGAAAAATCAGCATAATTCATTATTAAATGAAATACACTACTTAACACAAATTCAGAATGTCCAAAAAATAGCTCCCATCTAATTAAAAAAATAAATAAATGAATAAATAAAAAAAGAAAGGAAAGAAGGAACTTAGTACAAAAAAAAACTTTTATTTTATTGAAACAGCATTTATATATTTCTCATTCATATTTGTTTTATATTTAAATGTCATTTTGTCTCATCCCAATTGATGCACAGTTTTGGTTATTTGTCATTTACAATAAACTTATTCATCACTGTTTCTTTTAATAATTCATACACTACATTTGATATTCATTTTCTTTCTTTCAATAGCATATGGAAGTTTTAAGGAAGATGATGGCTATTTCAGCTTGGGTTCAAATTCAGGTGGTAAACAGAAAGCCGGATCGTATGGACGATTAGCATAGAGCACACAGTATGCTTATCAGAAAGGTTTGTTGATAAGAGGCACTTTCTTCTTGTCTCATTTGGAAAGCATATTTTAATGGAAATTTTGTTTCTTCTTTATCCCCTTATGGCCATGAGTAGTGTTCAAAACCAAATTGCATTTCAAGTTTCTTTCGTTAGGAAAAATTAAAATCTATATAGTATTAAAAATCTTCCACAAAAGTGTTATTCATTCAAGATCAGCAATTGAAATAAGAGTTTGTTTTCATTTTTTTTTCATTAAATATTATTGGGTCATCCAGAAAGTTCTACACTTTTCACAAACTGAAGGTAAACTGAAGGCAAACTTTCATAAACTGAAAAACTCCTTCCAATTATTTTATTACTGCTGATAAGGTGTGATCTTGATTGAAACAGGTGCTTAAATATGATCTTTTCTGCTCATGTTGCATAATTCCAGCATGTGGCTTATTTTTTTTAATAATTTTAATTGCAGTGCTAAGAATTCAAAATTTCAGTTTATTATATTATGCTCTTTTATTTTAAAAAAGGGGAAAAAACGTGACCAAACTGCTCATAAAATTTATGGTGCTTATGGACGAAGTGCTGTTTCTGATGACATAGTTTGAAAAGTTTAAGCATGGAAATTTTAGCTTAGAAGATGCTGCTCTGGACTACTATCTTCTGTAAACAACAGCCAGTTAAAAGAAGCTACCACTGAAAATCCACGTTATACAGTTGAAGAACTATCACAGAAACAAAATATTTTGAAAAATACAGTACAAGATCATTTGCAGAAGATTGGGTATGTAAGCTGCTAATATATGATTACCCTATAACTTTAACAAAGCAGAGTATGCTTACTTGTGTTTCAGCATGCCATTCTTTGACAGAAAAAAAAAAAAAAAGGGAAAAGTTTCTGTATTTAAATGGCTCATTACTGAATGAAAAATGGATATTAAATAAGAAAAATATCATGAGATAGGCCAAAAGATTCTCATCTGTAACATCAAGAGAGGGACTGCATCCAAAAAAGTAATGCTTTGCATATGGTAAGACTACAAAGGCAGTGTATATTACCAATTGTTGCCACCAATCAGACAGTCCGTAAAAATACTATCTCCAAATGGCAGTTTTAAATCAGAGCAAAACACCCAGAATTGACTAATCAGCAAGGCATTTTCCATCAAAACAATACTTGGCCCTACACTTTGATAAATATCATAAACAAAGATTTAATGAATATGACTGAAATATTTTTGTTTTTGTGTCAATCCCCTTTATTCACCAGACCTTGCGCCCTCAGATTTTCGTCTTTTCAAGTCAGGTTAAAGTTCTCTGAATGGCTTGGAGTTCACTTCTATGGAGATGGTCAAACAACACCTTTATAACCTGTTTAGGAATATAACTAATGACCTTTTTTACAAAAGGAATTTTCCAGCTAACAGAAAGATGACAAAAAGTCATAGAACAATATGGTACTTAAATGATTCAATTAAATTTTCTTACGTTTTTGTACAGCTTCATTTATATTTATAATAAGAAATCATAGCACTTTTAGACTAATCCAAAATATAGCTTGAATTATTAAAGATTTTAAAAATATAATATTTTAACTTTTAAAAAAGACAGATAGTATCTGAAGCAAACCAAAAGCAAGGTGATAAAATTAAATTTGCATAGCAACAAATGATACAGTAATAGCATTACAATCATAAATATAATATGCAATTTTTTCATTTAAATGACTTTTTAAAAGTTTATTGAAAAATATATAAAACATGCTTTATTGTGCACACCTTAAGCTGATCCACACATATATCCATGGCACTGTACTGTGAGACAAGTTTCTGTCAATCTATCCATACAATCATACATTCATTTGCACTAAAATTGTACTTATGGTTTATTGGAATTCTTTGTTGACAGCAAAACATCTTCCACCAGAAAATTGATCATTCTATTGGGCAATGCTTGGTTGCATAATGCCTCATTCACACAACAGCTGCTTTGATGGCTGTGGGTATGTGAATTTCAATGGCAAGATTAGGAGCACCTGGTTTATAAACCTGACCTTACCTTTGGCACTTACAACTTTTTACAGTATTAAAGGAGTTGTGGGATGGAAAGCACTTCATTGACAATAAAAAGCTTGACTAAATAATAACTGTACAGGGTGTTCATAAAGTCCCGGGCCGATTTTGATGTTTAATAACTCATAAAATAATAAAGATAGATTAAATTAATAACATAAATGGTTAGATAGACTCAAAAAGTTTCATGACTGAAGTTCATTCCACATGTGCCCCCTTCATTGCACGGAGAATATCAAGTCGATATTCAATTTCACGCCAGGTACCGGCAAGCATGTCGGCATCCACAGAGGCTGTTGCGGTTGTAATTCTGTCTTTTAGGTCATCAATGTTTGACACTCTCCTCCTGTAAATGTTGTCCTTTACAAATCCCCAAAGGGAAAAGTCCAGCGGCATTATATCAGGTGATCCGGGTGGCCAAGGAATTGCACCTCCTCGCCCAATCCATCTTCCTGTACAATGTTCATTCAAAGAACTACGAATGATGGTACCCCAGTGAGGTGGTTGCACCATCTTGTTGTAAAAAGACATGTGGCTGAAGCTCTCCTAGTTGTGGAAATCCGAAGTTTTCCAACATGTCTAAGTATACGACTGATAAGACCGTCTTTTCTGTAAAAAAGAAAGGCCCAATGACTCGGTCGTGCATTAGTCCACACCACACCTTAACCTTTGGGGAATCCCTTTGTGCCTCACGGTATTCATGGGGGTTTTCAGATCCCCATATGCGCACATTATGGCTATTAACAATGCTAGAAAGATGGCAGAAACAAAAGAGAAAAAAATGTGATTAATAAGCAGACGATATTTAGAAAAGTACAGATATTTAGACTGGAAAATAAAATTATCTGAAATTAACGACACGCGCAGACGACATTTACAAAAGTAAAGATATTCAAACCTGAAAAGGAAATTATATAAGTTATTCCATAAATAAATGCCATAGGTTTGTTTATATCTTCATTATTTTATGAGTTATTAAACATCAAAATGGGACCGGGACTTTATAAACACCCTGTATTTCTCAACAGACAGCTGGTGGAATGCATGACTAAACTACACCAAAACTTATGTCAAGATATGGTTGATATTGCAGTGTCATGAGGCTTTATGATATAATAATCTGAGGCAGATACTTTCAAGATAAGGTTTTGCTTAAACAACTTCTTTTCATCCTTTTTTTTAATTACCTAATGGATACTGTTTTCTGGATATGATGTTATATATATATATATATATATATGGAAGAGAAGCATGCCAGTTTTAAAATTAAAAACAGACAAACCTAACTTGAACAAAAGCTTTATGCCAAATACTTCAATTCCAAGAGTAAGCGAGCAGCACTTTATCATATGTCTTCTTCAATATGCAAAATGTTTTCTTGTAAAACCAACATTAATCTAATCAAGAATTTTGTCAAATTTCCAATTTTTATACAAATCAAAACAAGATATACATATATACCTGAGGTAGATGAACCATTCCATTCACTTGAAGGTTATTTTCAAACCTCTTATTTGTTCCTAGAAAGAAACAATACATATTTTTAATACACAGCACTAAAAAAGCCTTTAAAATTTCAATAATTTGAATATTAAATATAACCAAAATGAATGATTTTAGTTACCATTTCTGAAAGTAAATAATTCTCTTTCTTTTTTCGTTTTATCATCAGCTAATGCCTGCCAATTTTTTCTGTTTTCTTTGCAACCTTCAAGCAAAGGCTTTAAAGCCGGCTGAACTCTAGTCAATGCCTATAAATAAAAAAGTTAAAGAATTTTAAACTTCTTGAGCTTAAAAAATTGATTCTATTAATTAGTAACAAAAATTAATAAACTTATTATGTCACACATACATTAATGAAATCGAAGTATACAAGTTATGTTTTAAGCTTTAAGATGTTAAAGAATCTTTGCACTCATGCAAATAAGCATAGTACATATTCAGCAGACTTTTAATTAATTAAAAAAATTATGAAAAGAGAAAAACTTACTTCATACACAGGAAGACAAATGCAATCAATAAATCCAACTTGCATTGCAGGAAGTTCACCTTTCTTTTCTCGATCCATCATTGCCTATAAAAGTTTTAGAACTTAATTATAATATTATTATTAAAAACTTTCATTAGTATTATTAAAAACTTTTCATCATTTTTTAAAAGAGGAATACATGTTGAGATTATTTTGTCATTAGGTGGTAAATCTCAATTAATGATGATGATCTACGTAAGCTATATGATGATCTAGCTAAGTGTATGAGATTCTCGTAATATTCTGTATTATTCACATTTTAATTTGATTAGATTTTTAATTACAAACAGATAAAACTTTTACAACTGCTACTACTGCAGAGGGTGTTTTTACACATTTTTAGAACGATTTCGATACAGAACTTAAAAAAATGCAGACATTTTGGAATAAACATTTCATGCAATGGCTTATTATTTGAAGTCACAAATATTATCTGCTACTTTTTAAAATTTATTCTTCTTTTAAAACGTTGCATGTAAACAAAGTATGTATTTTAGGATATCTTTTTGCACTTTCCGAAGAGAAATATTCCAGTTCCATAATTTAAAAATGTTGTAAAAGACATGGTATTAAAATTTCTAAGTGCAAAATAAGCAGCATACAACAGCAAAGCCGTCAATAATTATTTCTGAATTAAAAGAAGACTCCAAACCAATATCCATAAAAAATACATACAGTTTCTAAAGTTAAATCGTTGGCAACGATAGCAAATCTGCAGACACGGAAATAAATTGCAAAGTCTTTAAATACATGTGTAGCTACAGCAAATAAAACAATAAACCAAGATTTACAATTTAAAAGAGTTAAGACACATAATATTCACCAGCTTTTGGCATGCCATGTGGTAAGTTCATGCTTAAAGCAGAACAATTTATAGAACCTTGTATGAAACTGTTCAGCAAGAGATAAATATAAATACATTATGGCCCTTACTGAAGCAAAAGTTTATCTAAACAACTGCAACAAAAAAAGGTCTATTTATTATTGAAACCAAAGAGAAAAAAAGAGTACAAGCCTGATTCCATCAATGCAAAGAAAGTTTCAATAAGGGGTTTATGATTGTTGCAGGATTCTCTTACAATGGGAAGTTAAAAATAAGAAGAGTGGAAAAATGTTAAAATCAGTTCAATGTACTATCAAGAGAAAGTTTTATGCCCTATATTTATAGACAAAATTCTATGCCTTTATTCCAATGATTTTCAGAGAATGAAACTTCTTCAAGACAAAACAACAAGTCATAGTTTGGAAAGTAAAACTGCATTGCTTGAAAAAAATGAAGACTGATACAGGTATTGCATATATACCTTTTCAATGTATCCTTGCAAAGTTCCAGTATTTTATCTAAGAACTGTTCTGCCTTTAATCTCTTGAAAAAAGCTCTTTTTAAGCACAAACCTACTACATTAGATTATGGAAAGTAGTGGAAGAAAAATAAAAGTCAATAAATTGGAAATTTTACAAAACGTCCTTTCTATTACGGAAATCATGATCAGTCCAGGAAAAAAGCTGTCAGCTCGAATGTCCAAAAAATATTCTTTACATTTGAAACATTAATTAAACAGCTCCAAAGTGATATAAAAATGTGTAAACACCCTCTATGCTACTATATACTAAACTATTTAATATGGAAATATGCATAGAAAATATTCAAATATAAAAATATAGACTTAAGAAATAACACACTATAATTAAAAAAATGCATTGCTATGTAATTAGTTTGGGAGCTATCTCTTCCAAAAGAAATTTTTTAATTAGTATAGGATAGGTGACATTAATACATATGTATATACTAAAGAACATAACTGAAAATTTTCCAAATTTGTAAGTTTATTTTTTTCAAATTTGTAAGCTTTTTAAATTTATTTAGTAGTTTATACTCAACAAATGTTTAGCAAAATATAATGCAAAATGCTTGGTCAGCATATCTTTGCCTAGCTATCTTTGTGATAAATAGTGTATAGCTAACACAAATGAATCCTTAAATTTTGCATTTATTTTGTATGTAATTATTATATAATTAATAACTATCATTTAGTAGTAATAACAGCTAACCTAATAATCATTTTACTTGAAATGTATTTAGTTTTAAAAAAGAAATAAGTCAATTTTGTGTAAAAGCCAAATATTATATAGCCAAATATATAGTAATAACAGCTAACCTAATAATAATTTTACTTGAAATGTATTTAGTTTTAAAAAAGAAATAAGTCAATTTTGTGGAAAAGCCAAATATTATATAGCCAAATATATTTAAAAAAATCTACTTCCAGTTTTTATAATTTGTTATAAAAAATTACAACCAAGTATACAACAATAAAAAATAAAATGAGATATAGAATGAAAAAGGAGGAAAAGTTTGATAAAATATAATAACAGAAAAAAAAAACATGTGAATACTTTAAATAAAAATAAGGAATATTTCAATCGCTATGCAAATCTTAAACAAACAGTTACTTAGAATGAAAGTTTATAACTGTAAAACAAATAACTTACAATAGGTTGCTCTTTCAACCTCTCTTTCTCCAAATCTCCTTGCTGAAAAAATTCTCCAGCTACAAGCTCTGCAACTTTTTTCTGTACTTCCCATGGTTTACATATAGCAGAAATGTCACATGCTGTCATCATCATGCCTCTAAAGAGATAAATAAAGAAATTTAAACTACAACACTGCTAAAGGTGTAAATCATTATTAAAAACACTTGCTATTTTTTTTAAAAGGTTGCTTCTTGGTGAATTCAATCTTCTAAAACACTTATCCTTCATTAATATCTCAATTTACCTCTTAATTTCTTTTCCCTTCATTTATCCCCTACTTTTCTTCATTCAGCTTCTGAAGCATTAGCATTCAGCTTCTTTTTTTAATGTCAAAAAGGTTCACTGTTCTGATACGTAATATTTATACAACACACCCTGTCATCAATAAATACACTGAATGATTTTATGATTTATCTGCAGGAGAGGGGGTAGATGTATGCACAAATACAGCTTATTGCCCTTAAAAATAATTGCCTCCCATGGTTATGCACTTCTGAAAACATGTGAAGGGATCTCATATACTTTGAGAGATGGCAACCTGTGGGATACAGCTGAATTCAGTGTTTATGCTGCACTAAATGTTGATAATCTTAGAAAACTGTTCACATTGCACTGGATGTTGGCAAACACATTCACTTGTTAGCATGTTGTAACATTCATTTGATGATTTCCCAAGTTTTAAACAGAATTTCACGTCTTTACATTGCTTTCTTTCATCTGTGACAGTATCACATTACTGCACTAAACTTTACTTCTATAAATGCACACACATAAACTGTACATCTGGAAAAACACGTGCTTTTCAAATGATGACCAAATTGAACATCAACATGTAGTACCAAATACAGCACATACCAGTAATTTATACACTGTATTTATTGATAACACATTATAATATGAAACAAACAGTTTCCTAATTTAAACAGGATGTTAAATTAAACCAATAGTGTGATATGCTATGCAACTGTAAGGCTAAAGAGGTGAAAAACTGCTCATATCTTATAAAATCATAGCAACAATGCATCTAACATTAAACTTTTAAACATAAACACTACAAAGAGGATGATATGTAATCATCCTCTTAGAATTCAAAGTCCCTTTTTCATATTTCTATATACAGGTGCATATACTTAAAAACTTAAGGTTCTTTGGAGGCCCTTCCTGATCAGAGGCAGCCTGCTCCCTCTCTTAGTAAGTGTACATGTATGTACATGGATATATAGTGGGCTATTTAATTTTACGTGCAGAATTTCGACAATGCTTTAGTTTCAGCAAAATTTCATTTATATTCTCATCAGTTTAATTTATTTATTTTGTAATAATTAATCATTATAAATGCATCAATTTGATTGCTGATGATAGCAAGAATGAATATTTCATTTTCTCCTCAAATTATTGCAATTGTCTAAAGTTACTATGATAAACAATGCGACTTCTAAGATTTCTTTCTCATAATTTTAGTTTAAAATTCTGCTTCACAAAGAGGTCATAGTGTAAAAATCACTCAAAATCTGTATGGAAATTTACACAATATTCTAAAGAGAAACAAAAAAAGGGAAAATATTGTGCTTAATTATTTATTATAAATATAACTCACCTTAACAATTCTCTGTTATGTGGATTCTTCCAATCTGGTTCACCAGTATTTACTAGCTTTAAGAATGCATCTTTCTTTCTGAAACAGAAAGAATACAATAAATAAATGACTGAGACTAGATATATCATAAGTTTCAAACACATTTCTAATAAATATATATGTGTACGTGTGTGTGTGTGATTACTATAAAATTCATATAACGGAACATTATTAAAATACATATATTTAAAGTTTCGGAGAAATTTCTGATAAATGGATAATGATGTGATTATTATAAAATTTATCTAACAGAAATAAAATAGCTCATATCATTAAAACCTAGCATATTAATAACATATCTGAGTAATTCTCTCATGAAGAAATAACCAAACTTATGTTAATTACCGATTTAAACCAGTATCAAATTTTTAGCTTAGATGTGCACAAAACTATGACTAAAATGGTCATGCTAAAATCAGCATTTAGAAAAACATTGTGCCTTTATTATGTTCAGGCAACGCCTACTTTACATAAGTTAACATTTGTGACCTATTGAATTACAACCAGAATCCATTCATTAGATATGTTATACAGTGTTAAGCTTATTTTAGATTACATCCTCAGCTTTTCAGTTAACTAAGCTTTTGTCCATTTGTTGAACTTTTGCATATTATATATGTATCTATGCATAAAATGTAAAAGTTTAAAATTCATTTTATAGCTCCAATTCTAAAAATAATATACTTCTTGATTTCTTTCTTGACGTCTTTAAATTTTTATACAGAGAATTATTTTTCTTTTTCGTCAAGCAAAATACATTGGCAAACTAAAAAGTGTGAATTCCAGTAGTCACCAATGGTCCCATTTCCAATTTACCTAATTAGCAAAGAATGTTGATATGCAAATATATAAATCAATTACATAAATCAAGTATATAATTATATGATTTTTTTATGAAATTATAACACTATTTTTATGCTTACACTACTTTTAATGCAAATACAAATATTTTCTTGAGCATGAATGACAGATAATAATTTCAAATCCTTCATATTTGGAATATTTTTGATAAAAGGGATACTGATTGGGTAAAAAATGATTAATTTATTATAAATGTTTAGTTAAAAAAATTTCTTTCCTAACACTGCATTTTTGCTTTAATAATACACAGCATAAATTATGAATAAAACACATTAGAAAACGTCAAAGTTTAAATAATTACAATGTACATTAATATGTATACTTTGCACAAAAAGGGGGCCCGGGGGGGCAGTTCTATATCTCCCATTTTATTGGACCCATTGTCGAAATTTAACTTGCATTTTCCATGTCACGAAAGCGTGACTATGATTTATTAATTCATATACACATTGTCTAACATAGTATGAACAAAAAATCGGACTTTTTCTGAAATAACATACCAATGATTTCGCTTCTACGACTGAAATTATACCTAGATATTAAATTTTGGGTGATTAATTTTTGGTAGGAAATTTAAAATTTCTTGGCCATTTTTTCCGTTGCGCCAAGAATAATTCACTTGGCGAACTCCTTTCCTTTTTTTTTTTTTTTTTTTCACTGTATACAAGCAAAGAGAAGTTAAAATTTTGAGAGCTAATTTTTTAATTTACTCCTGCAATTTAAAAAAAAAACTTGGCACATTGGCATAATTTGAGTTGTAGACTCAAAATATGGAAAAGAATTCGTACGTTATATCAGAAACAGTCGGATTTTGTGTCAGAATACGTATATTAGAAGAATGCTGTATATAAATCTAATACATATCCTAAGTCACGCTTTCAATACATGGAAAATGCCAATTAAATTTAGACAATTAGTCCAGTGGAACAGGAGATACAGAACTGTCCCCCCCTTTCTTTGTGCAAGGTGTACAGCCAAAAATTAATTCAATAATTTAAAGATTCTAACATTAAAGAAAAAAATTAAAAATTTTGTGACAATGTGGATCAATCGTGATTTTTGTTTACCACTGTGGCGACTGCCAGCCATATCTCATGATGGTTCTGTAGCTGCCACACTTTTATTGGTTATATTCTTTTTTTTTTTATTTTGAAATTGGTAATTGAATATTTCAGTGTAATCAAAATCAAGGAACATAAATAATTAGTTATATAATGAAAAATATATTAAAAAAAATTACTTGAAATAAAGAGCCAAATCTGTGGACAAGATGGCTGATTCAACAATAGAAATAATGCTTCTGTATTCTTCTGGTGATAAAGACTGGAATATATTGTTGCCCGTCAAATCTTAATTAAAAATATTTACACAAGTCAATTAACTACACCACTTACGAGATGAAATTGTTTACTGGTATTAATTTACAAATATTAAAATAAACTTTAAAAAACCAGGTTTTTTTAGATTCTAATGATACAAACTATGTTATATGTAAGGTTTATTCTACGACTATGCGCCAGAGCCCTATGGAGACCGTCCAGCGGGAACAAGAGTAAATAAATATAAAATGACTATTAACTCAGTAATAATTTAATAAATAGTTAATTATATCAATTTATTAATAGCTCTTTGAATGTTATAAATTGTTATTTAATCAATATTATTTATTTTTAATATAAATAATTAAATTAAATAAAATGTAAAGAGATAAAATGAAAATTTAATACGCAATTTTTAATATAATTTTATTGTTAAAATAAAATTTCGAGATAAACTTTCTACTGAATTGTTATTCAATTACATAAAAAGTGCCGCAGCTACTTATTCAGGGCTCTGGTGCGTTCGGCTAGAATTATGATTTATTACAAACTAATAGACAATTTAAGTCTGATTGTAAGGGGGGTGTGGAAGTTCTTTATCATCACAAAAATTAAATATACTTAAAGTATAGTGATGAAAATTCCGGGCGAAAACAGAATGACTGTATGAGTGGGTGAAACAACAATGATTGAATCTTGTGACAGGAACGTTCTCTTTACCATGGCTCTCTGCTGATATAATTATAGTCATCAGCGGATGTGGTCAGAGTAAATGATTCCTGAATCTGACTCCTCAGGATGAATGTAGTGTGGTTATGCTTTCCCCATTCGTGATACTGTGGGAAGACAATGTATAGAACGTGCTTGAGCAGATAATCTCAGTATGTCACCTTATTGTACTCGCTGTCACTTACCGCGCATTTAAGAACAGAAATTTTCCTTCCTGCGAGGATAACTAATAATAATCAATTTAAAATAATAAATCAATTTAAAAAAATTAAAACAAATTTTAAAAAATAAAATCTGAAACTTTTCAGATTTTATATTACGCCCAGAGGAGTGTTTTTTTAACGTTTTGTGTGCTACCTTTATTTATTAAATATCATGTTCTTCACACTTACAACACAAAATTAAATTCAACAGCAATATCCCAAACTAATTTTAAAATGCTCATTTCTTTAGAATTTCGGATACACAGTCTCGACCGCTGGAGATGAAAATGTTTTTTTTTCCCTCCGTACAGTGTTGCCATTGCTCACTTTGAAATCTTTGAGTTTGTTAATCAAAAATTCATAAAAATAAATAAATACAATAATAGTGTTACAAAATATGAAATTGATCATAAAACAAATTTCAAATTCCAATTTTGGGCTTCCAGATTCACATATTCAGGGGAAGATTACATTATTCAAAATTTGATGGCTCTGGTACCGTTGTTTTATCACAATGCAAGAAATTTACATACATTTATGCAAATTCTTCATTATTTAATTTCTTTAAATATACCACAAGACTCTAATATTTGGTGCAACTATCTGAAAAGTGAACCGACATTTATAGTGAATTAAGGCAAAATGCCAAAATGAAATTAATAGTCCTCCTGGGCCAATGATCTTTGGGCTTGAAAAAAAAAAAAAAAAAAAAAAAAAAAAAAAAACCCTGCATTAAAAATATCTGAAAGTTTTCAGATTTTATATTATGCCCAAAAGTTGTTCCCAAACTCTTTACACACTCACATACATGTTTTGAGAGCATTTGGGCTAAAAAAATTTAAAAACAATGTTTCTTTAGAGTTTCCAATAGACAGGCTCATGCACTGGAAATAAAAATATTTTATTCCATACAGTGTGTTGTCACAGCTCGCTTTGAAATTATTTTCTTAATAAAAAATTTGTTAAAGTTTAAAATATATAAAATAGATAATAAAACAAATTCGAAATTCAAGGTTCTGGCTTTCAGGTGCTCATATTCCGATGCTGGACTACATTATTCAAAATTTGATGGCTCTAGGTATCACTTTTCACAATACGATTGTGAAATGACAATATGAAAGTGCCCATTTAATATTTCAAAACGTCCAATGACTAATTATTTTCAGATGCTAGTTAACCTTCTCTTATAATTATTCAAAAAGGAATTTTCCAAGTTCCCTATTCTCTAAACTGCCAGTATGATTTTTTATATTAAATATTATTACCAGTATACCAGTATGATTTTTTATATTAAATATTATTAAGACATTGACCTTTCTTTCAAAAGTATTGCATCAGTTTGCTTCATAAAGTGCCTTTTTAAAGTGCATAATAAATTGGTAAAAGATAATGAGATGCAAACCTCACTATTCAGTATCATAACACACTGGTCAAAATGATGATGCTCCATTGTAGAAGTGCTGTATAAAATGGCCAGGGGGGATTCAATCCTTTAAGAAAAGAAATAAATAAAAAATATAAGTAACATCTTGTGTATGTTAAAAAAATTATTAAAAAAATAAAAACCACAGTTCTGTTACTATGAAGACATAATGAAAGAAGTAAAATCAATTACTTGACTGGCAAAATTAAGATTATGAAAATAACTTTAAAAGCTATATGAATTTACACAATAATATTTAATTTTTTTGTTTTATTCAATGAAATGCACTTGCTGAAATTCACACATGAATCACATTAGCAGATTTGCACAATAGTAGCGATTTAGCTCTGAGTAAGTTAAACTGGAATTAAAATTAATCACTTCCAATTAAATTGTTTTAATAAAACTTAATAACTGCTAGTTTTATAAATAAGTTAATTAAAAAGAATAACTTCTCAACAATCTTTATTTAGCAATTATTCACACATTTGAATTTATATATAATAATTCATTTTAATGTTTATCAGTACAGTACAACTTCAATTATCTGAACTCCAACTATCCGAATCACTTTCAGAATTTAAGAAACAAATTAAGAGGGAAGCATAGTGTTGGACAATCAACAATTTCATACATTAAAAGATGTAAACCTACACTTTTAAACTTCGTGTCACTGCTTGAAAACAAAGATTGAAGTTCTTCAAGAAAATCAATGAAGGCAGCAGACAAAAATTCAAGAAATGTCGTTTTCAAGTGGTTTTTGAAGCAACGTTCTAGGGAAACCGAAATTTGGATACGATTCTTTGTAAAAAAGCTAAAAAAACCTAAGAAGCTTAGAAGCTTGGTTGTTCATCCTTTAAAGCAAGTAATGGCTGGCTAAGAAATTTTGCAGGCACAGTGTCCATCAAACAGCTTACTTTGACGGAGATGTTTAGCAAGAAATGACTTTCAGCACTTGCAAGTACTGTACAGTACGCTATATAACATGTACGTAAAAGTGTTGCCTTTTTTTTCACTTAATTTAAACCTTTTTTTTCTTTAAAAATAGCTCTTTTCTTCCATTTTCAACATACAGTACATACAGTAATTACCGTATTTGGCGGCATATAAGATGCACTTTTTTTTTCTTTGAAAACAGGTCTGAAAAAAGGGCTGTGTCTTATACGTCGATATTTTATTTCTGCAAATTTCCTCTATTCAGAGTTATGCGATCTTCTTGTTTCCTTGCGAAGTGTGGAAATATTACAGTTACGTAGAGTTCAGCGAATGTGCATGCATTATCATCGACAATCACAGCTAGATTTGTTTAAACTTTCCAATTTTTGTGAACAACTTTTAAGTGTGTGAAATTTCTACGGTTCAACTTTCTTAAATTTTTTGGCAAGTTATGGCTCAAAAACAAAGTTGGCATTGCTATAACACAGCACACAAGCTACGTTTTATAGCGTATGCTAAAGAACATGGAAACACTGGATGGTTCAGAGGACAATATATTGTATGAGGACTCGGATGCTGATTTAGAGGAAGTTACAAGTGACTCTTCATTTACCTCTGGAGATGAGTGTCTGGGTTTTGACAAAGCATGTTCTTAAAAGGTGTTCTTTCCCAGATAGATTGGGTGTTTGCAGAAAGTATTACTTTATATTTAAAATGCTGTAAATTCATTATAATGATCAGTAATAAAGTTTTACCTTTCAAAAATGTGTATAAGAAAGGGGGTGCATCTTATAGGCTTATACGATGGCAAATACGGTAATTAAAGTGTACGTAGAACCTTTCTTTGGAAAAAATCCAATCATCTGAATTTTTGATTACCCGAATGGGGTATGGTCCCAACTAATTCGGATAATTGGAGTTCTACTGTAATAGGTTATTATTTGGTGTACACACTGGATGTTTATAGGAAGAACTTGGAAAGATTTCCTCCATGATGACACAAACAAATAGAGTACATAAAATATTTTTCAAGGTAATATTTCATTATTCTGCATATTCTTTAACTGGGACATACTACACACCTGAGACAGTTATGCTTGTGGTGGACTATAACTCACGTTAAATCCACCACAGGGAGCAAAGATGAAGAGCTGCTGTTGAGGCTCCGCTCAAAAGCAGTGACATCATCAAGTGGCTCATGTTCTTGAACTCCAGTAGCAAACAGACATGCTTCTCACTGCCATCTGAGCATGCACAGTGCACAAAAGCTCATACCCATACTCACGTCTACAACTATATGTTTTTGTGCCATGTTCTTTGTAATAATTAAATGTTATTAAGAATAAAAGTGAATCAATTTATTTTGCACAGCCTGTTGATAAGCTAGGCAATTTTATATTTAATGAATTTCAGTTATCAGGATATGCTAAAACAAATAATCCAACATACAAAATGTTTTGTTATGTTAACTGAAATTTCAAGGGTATAAAACATTAACGCATATAGGAATTTTAATATTATATGTTCATAATTTAATAAAAAATAACTTTTTATAAGAAGGTTACTGAAAAAATAGTCAACTATTTCTGAATTCCAGTTTCTTTAAAAAACAGTTTTATGCTTTAAAAGTCAACATCTTTGATTTACTTACTTAGTCTGGAAAGAATTATTTGTACCTCGATGGTCTAAGTCATGAGAGAGACAAGCAACTAACAGGGCCATTGTTTCAATATCAGACAACATTTCCTTCATGTTTCCTGTCTGAAAAGATTCATCCTTTTATAAATTACACAGGCTCCAAGAAAACTTATTTGAAATACTTAAAATAATATCTTCCTTACTATTCATTACTGAGAAACAACAGAAATTTAAAACAGTTCAGTATAATTTAAATGTTTAAAAATGGGTTTAAAATTACCATAAGCATTGCAAAAGCAGTCTGTGTAACATTTAATGCATGTCTCCAGTTATGATAAATTACAGGACGATAATTTTTCTTGACGCTCAGGATCCATCGACACATGACCTAGAAATTAGAAATAAGAAGAATTAATTTGAAAATATCACATTTGAATTTGCCCTGTAGAATATGACAAAATGGTTTCCTTAATTACAAATGCTAGGGAATTACTGCAAGTCATTGTTCTAAGGTTAGCAGAAAATACTTCTCACATATTGACAAATGCAACCCATATTCCCAGAAATATGCCTCTTGTGATAAAAGTTAACTCTCAAATCCCTCCCAAAAATTCCAGTATGAAAACTTTAACTTACAATTTAAACCTCTTGGAGAGTTTGCCATTAAAATTTCAAAAATTTCAAAATTTTTTTAAATTGATAAATGTCAAAATCATATGGTTAAATAGAAAGAGAATCTCATCTTAATTTGCAGATATTGCTTTTCAATCCTGAAATAATTCAACATGCATGCAAGTTTATGAGTTCCTCAGAAATTAAAGATATACCCTTAAATGAGGCATTCAAAATAGCAAAGCAAAATGCAAGAACATAAATCTGCTACCATATTTTTTCAATGTATGATACATAGAGAGTTGTGCTTTTATTTAATGAAGAAAAACTTTATTATTCGTGACATAACCATGCATTTATTTAACTGGATAATTTGCACACATGGTCAGCATCAAACATTTCTTTAAATAACAGTACTTTCTATTTTGTCAGGATACTAAATCTATGAACTGAAAATAATGCACACTTTGAAGAAGGTTTCCTTCAAGGTGTTTTAAAGAAAGAATCTTTGTTCAAACTTTTAAAATCAAATCATAAGTATTCTAAAAGTAAGTTAAATAGCTAAAGAAGTAGCAATGTATATATTTATGTAAAGTTTTCAAACAGAAGCCCTTCCTTAAGTTTTAAACTCAAATTGTATTTTTTTCATCAATACAAATTTCCTTTATGTTATATACTATTCGGAAGCTTTAGACAGATTATAATAAATTATTGTATAAAACTTTTTTAAAAAACTTTAAAGCTTATTAAACTTTTTGGCTCTTAGAAATCAAAAACATAATACACTCAACATTTACTGTAAATTCACCCCTTATCATAGTGGCTGCCAAAAATTAATAGTTAATCAACCGAGATGTAAAATGTAGTGAGGTGTAATAAGAACATGTAGTGAGATACCTTGATTGATTAGTGATTCAGTCTTGGGGGGCTTTACAATAAAGGAGTACCCTAAAACATTTTTAAAAGATGATTTGACAAAGAAATCATGAAAGTGAGATAAATTAAGCAACTTACTTGATAAGGAATCCGGAATTTATGAATGAGATCTAACTCCATAAACATGCGAATCGCTGCCTGGCAAGTATCATCATCGCTCAACCTGAAATCACTGAACTGAAAACTAGACAATTTGAACTTTTCTGCAGATGGTATGGATATTTGCTAAAAGGAAATTAAAAGTGATTCAGATAATTTTAAATGGGATGCATTCAACATTATGTACATCTGTGATAATTTTACTACACTTAAAACCCAAACTTAAAGTAACACACATAAAAATCTTCACAGATGGAATACAAGCCACCACTCTTTTTTACATGTACAGATTTCAAGCAGGGTAATTACCTTTTACTAAAGGAATACAAGTTTTTTTAAAAGTAAGTACTCTAAGAAAATAAAACAATTCCTATGATATATTAACTAGACAAGATTTTAACTTTTTGCTTTGTAATTATCTGAAATAAAATATAAATTACATTTTAAATGTCACTGAATTAAATTTTCTATGTAAATAATTATTTGTTTCTATTTGCATCCAAAAAAGATTTAAGAAATCAATCTGAAAGTATTGCCTACAGATAGTGGCAGGTATAGAAAGAATATCTCTATATTTTTTGTTTAGTCATTGTTTATAGAAAATGTTTAGATCCGCATGCATATAGACAAAAAAAAATGTTAAAATGTATATTTCTTATTTGTTATTCTGATGATGGAACTGAATACTTAATTTTAAAAACTAAGCATTATCATAAATAATTTATTTTAAATGACTAAAAAAGGCAATGGCTAGAAAGTATATTTTGACAGCAACACTTACGCATAATAACATTCAATGTTTTATTTGATTCTTACCATTAACTTTTTAGCTTCTTCTAAAGATGATGATGCATGATAAGATAATACTTCTAGAGCTACTTTCTGTTTGGCCATCAGTTTGCTTGCATTTTCATACATCTGTGTGTTGTAAATGCCGAGACCACAAAATATTGAAAATGCCTAAAAAGAAGCTGTATTAATTTCTTCCAAGCAATTAGTAGAATCATATATATTTTTAGAAAAGGTGTACTTTGATATACAAGTAAATGAAAGTATTACACTCTTGCACATGAACATATTTTAAAATCATATGTATATAGCTAATTTCTAAAAATAAGATTTGTATTATTTAAGATTCTCATGCTATAAATAGAGAATTTATATTCATAAATAATGTATTTAAATATCATTACGAATGAAAGTGTTATATATTTTACCTCTAGTGTACTAATATCACATTCTGTAAACACTTGTCCCTTCAATTTATTTACTAACTGTGCAACACCAATGACCTTTTTATCACTGCTGAATATGGGAATGGATAATACTCGACTTCTTAATTTCTCAAACGGTAACTGTAATATTAAAAAATAAACATTCAACATACTTAGTACTATTTTTTGTGCACATACATACCAATTTATATTTAACATAAAAAGTTAAAAATAATACAAATAATTATTAATATAAAAATTATGCAAACATCTTTATTTGCTTTTATTACAAGACTATTATTCCTCATGTTTCCACATATGTTTAAGAAGTTTGATGATCAAAAAGAAAGAATATAAGGGAAAAAAACATGGATATATAAGAAATGGATCTAGTAAGGAAATCATTTAAATTCTCCCTAAAAGAAAAAAAATACATTATAACAAATAAAAAAATATAGAAAAATTAAAGGATGGAAAACATACATATATGCCATGCAATTTTTATATAATATTCAGGGCTTAATTTCTAAAACTAGAAGTGACAGAGTCCCATGAAAGATCATCAAGAAAGAGGAACAAGAATAAATAAATAAATAAATGACTAATACAATAATAAATTAATTAATAATTAAACAATTCATTGTTAAAATAATTAAATAATTAATGATTATATTATTAATCATTAGAATAATTATGTAATTAAAATTAAAATTTAACAAAATACTATAAGGAGATAAATTAAAATTTAATAAATAATTAAATAAATTGTAAATAGCTAAATAATAAAGTAAAGTACTGGATCTTGACTTATTTGGAGTTCAGATTGGAATTACAATTTCACGCAAAAGCTAAGAAATAGTTCAACCGGTATCTGGTTGAATTTAATCTCTGAATATAATGTGCTCATTCAAGGGATGATAGAGATAAAGATATTCTTTTACCACAGACACCAATGGACAAATACATTCGTTTTCCGCAGACACAAATGAAAAAATGAAAAATGTTAAAATGGTTAAAGCATTGCTAGATAAAGAGAATGCTATAAACAGTAACAGACTATAGACAACTTTTTAACAGAGAATGTATGGGTATGAAAACAAAAATAGAGCAGTCTAACATTTTCTGACTCTAATCTCTTGTCAATAAAATTCTAACTGTCAAGCAGAATGTGAAAGGAGAACAAAATTTTGCCGAAACCGAGAGTTAGCAGAGAAAAAATCACATGCGACAATTTTCGTCTCCCTATCTTTCGGTGACATGGTTCCAAAAAGTCTGCAGGTGCTCTTTTCCTCGGGAAGCACTAGTGTCGGAACGAAAAATTTTCCTGTTGTCCTAACTTCACTGTACTTTCTAGAGAATAAGCCTTTGACATGTGGGTGGGGGGTTTTCTTTCCTTAAAAGTCTCGACCTCCATTCAAGGGTTTGTCTTTCAAGGAAAGAAAGACATGCATTCAGAAGTGAGAACCGATTTTTAACATAATTTAATTGCTAAAAATAAAAGGTTTTGACACCAAATTTCTGCTGAAACTGTTGTTCAGTTACATAAAGAAGTGACGAAGCCTCTAGGTCTCCGATGCAGGAAGCACTTCCGCAGAGAACCCGGTAAATGTAAACATCGCCAACTTTGGCGATAATAGTTCAAACCTGGTAACCCATCGGATTTATTCTATTCTCTTGTTCGAAGTTTGCAACCATTCCTCATGCGTTCATTTTGTTGAATTATCACTGTCGTTGTTCGCATATTTGCAGATTTATATTCTTTCTTCTTCTTAATTTATTATTAGTTTTTCTGAATTTTTTTAACAACGAATAGATATGAAATATTTTCGTAGATACTAGATGCCAGGTTCTGGGTTCGCGATGATAAGGAAGAAGAAAATACGGGGGGAGGGGTGAATGCTAATTTGTAACACGGCTGTTCACGTTGTGTTCCTTAATTATTAACAGCTCTAAGAACCATGAGGTTTCCAACCGCTAAAATTTGTTTTCGTAGGCCGCAAAAATGCGCATGTGCATTTTAAATAATTAAGAAATGCTTTTATTTTTATTATTGGTTATTGTCATCTAAAATTATGTGAATAAATCAATTTTTATGGCGTAAAATTTTAACAAGATAATATATTGTTAATGCTTTTCGAACAATAACCTTTCAGAGGATGGCAGGTGTGACATAAATAGATGATTAAATTGAAATAAAAAATATTGATTATCTAAGATGACAGAATAGTTCGATGCACATGGTCATCAAAATTAGCAAACCACTGCTGGTGTAAGGAATATATTGTTTTCTGTGTTAACTGGAATTTAAGACAAATTTTTTTCGTATATCACGCTCAACCGGTTAATTTCAGTATGTTAATACTAATTTATATTTTTAAATGAATTTTTATTTCCGTTATAAATCCTTACATATTGTCTTATGCTTAATATATTCTTTTCTGTGCTAACTTGAATTTAATACAAATTTATTTTCGTATATCATGTTTAACCGGTTAGTTTTACATCTACATGCTTATTATCTGTGAATTTTTACTACCATATGCTTAATATATTGTTTTGTCTGCTAATTTGAATTTACATGCACTAAAAATCACGTTTTCGTCTCGGCTCATCGTCGATGAACGGCGAGTAAAAATGCAACGGCGCCAACGGGTTCTCTGCGGATGAAACCCCCGATGCATTTTAAGCTCTGGTAATATTAATGATTCATAATGCATTCTACCTTCTGTTCAAAAGATCTTTTAGCTAATAATAATATTAAATCTGTACCCTAAAACTTACGATTAACAAACGGAAGTATAGCGGAATCATAATTTTACTAACATCCATGATGTAATCTACAAATACTTCTCTGTCAGCCAACATATAGTTCACTATTTCCCTTTCTTACTTCGTATATTAGGTATATCTTATAAATCGGTGAAAAGTACCAGTGCTGATACTAGACCGACAAACGTGTACATGTCACTACACAAATTATTATATGTACAGGGCGGTCATAAACAGCATCCCTGATATATGAACCCTTAGCGGACTATCCGCTCAACAAATCGAAATGAAATTTCAGATATTGTTAATTGAAGGCATGTGCTCGAGATTGTGACGATAGACGAACAATGCAAACAAAGCAGACAAATGTCTTATTTTGCATTCACTATTCACTAAGTCTTTCTACCCACTAGGCGAAAAATCAAGCTCAGGTGCTAAAGAAAGGCAAATACAAAATTTCCAAATGGCAACACCAACTTTTTCCGGAGCAAATTGATGTCAGTGCATAGAAAAACTTTAAATGGCGTTGAAACGACAAACGTATGACGAAAGTCACCGGCGTCAAACACTTGCAAGGAAGAGCACTGCAAAGGACCAATAATAAAGTATATAAGAAAACACAGAAGAATATGAACTTACATCAGGTGGAACTCCTGAAATGTTTGAGGCTCTGACATCTTTTATTTCTTCATCAGTTCCTGACCAATTAAACGTCTGTAAGAATGCAATTAGCTCTTTTAATGCTATTTTATTATGTTTATTTAATGCATTTTGTAAACGGTAATTTAAGAAATAAAATATAAGTATTTAAATTATACTACTCACTTGTTCAGTGGCTACGACATGCCGTGCAAAATGTAGATGTGCTACTTCAGAACCTGACAGATCTTTCAAACTACAGGGAAAATTTAACAATCACTCCTTGAACAATCGGAAACATGTATAAAAAGTTAATAAACATTGGAGATTTTAAATATTAAAATATAGCTTTATTAATTACATTAACTCACCTAGGCCTCCTAATCTCCTGTTCATCTCTGTGAAGTTCAAAAATTGTAGTAAAAACAACATCCTAAGAAAAAATGAAGAAAAATGTAATTAGAAAAGATACCAAGTTATATAAAGTATTTCTTAGATATGAAATTATATTAAAAAATGAAATCCAAAGTGAAAGATTATATTTAAGACGTTCTTAATGATTACAATACAAATGACACAAAATTAAATATACAGAGGCTTTTTTAACTGCTTTGCTTGAAGATCGTGTACGATATGCAAGGCTTTTGAAGTAACAGATATAGATTTCGCTGATCCTTTATACCGCAAAAGCAAAGGGAAGGCAACCCAAAAGAAAGCTTCGATATGTCTATTTACATGTAGAGTATACTATGAGGTACATCTCATACTTTCTGTCAACTAATCGTTTTCTTTCAAGGGTTCCAAAGATTAAGCATTAGAGACATGGCATTAAGATATTGATATTAAATAAGGCATAGAGATTTAAGATTAAGCATAGAGGAATAGCATAGAGAGAACCATTTATAAATTATAGTGATAATGGAAGTAGTTTTATAGCAGCGGATAGTGCTTTAAATAATATTAATTGAAAGGAAATTGAAGTTTACAGCTCTACGAAAGAAGATCCGCCATGAGTTCATTCTTCCTTCTACTTTTTAGTGGAAGACAACGATATCTGTTTTTAAATGACTAAGAAAAGTTCTTGGGAAAGCCTTGCTGGATTTCGAAGAATTACAAAAAAATTCTCTATGACTGTGAAGGAATTATCGACTCTCGATCTATAACTTATTTCTCCTGACTTTTAATATGTTCCGGAATGATGTTGAAAAAGTTGGAATATCTGATCTAGACTTGATAGAAGCTCAAGCTCTCAGTAAACGGTTCAGATGCAGACTAAGATTGAGAGAAAAGTTAGAGAAGATTTCATCGTGAATACTTAGGCGAGCTGAAGATGGTGGTGAATGAAAGTTTGTCGAAGAAAGTAAATGTCAACGACATCGCATTAATTGGAAGTAATAATAAAAAATGTTTAGACTGGCCACTTTCGAAAGTGATAGGACTTATCCAAGGCTCGATATAATCCAAGATAACAGCTCAGAGGAGTCCTTATCCTAATAATTTAACACTTTCCAGCTTAGTGATTTAATTTAAAAGGTTTTTGATTTTACTTGGTTGCAAAAACAGATTAATCAGTTTCAAAATCAAATTTAATCTTAAAAATAAAATCATACGTATGAGAATGTATTCCCCCCCAAAAATGTAAAATTTTGCATAACTAACAAGTGAAAAATTACATATATGTCCAATTAGGTAAACATTAGGTAAAGTAACAGATTACTTACTGCTCAAGCATAATTTTACTGTATGATTTCTCGTCGACACTCAAAATCTCCTACAACACACAAAGTAAAAACTAAAAATCCCTCAAAGGCGCCATTTTTGAGTTCGCAGGTGGGCGCCATAAACCCTAGCGTCGGCCCTAAGTACTCTGAAAATTTCTACCTTGTATATAGTTCTCTTAAGTTCTTTATATTATGACTTGATGACTATATATAACTTTACAGCTTTTTAAAGAAGGGGTAAAATATAAAATTACGTACCTGAGGTCTTGAAAACTTTTTTGGTTTGAATATTGGTGGCAAAGAATTAGATTTTTCCTCAGAACTGTCCAATCTTTGATAAATAAGCTGAAATTAAAAACATAATTAATTAATTCATTTACAACAGAATTAAATGTAAATTCACTGAAACTATGTATAAAAAAGTTCCAGCACGTAAGTATTTTCGTTGTTTTTTCAAAAAAAAAAAAAAAAAAAAAGTGCAAAATATACTTTATACATTAAATTATTATTTACGCATTTATAGTAGAGACCGAAATCCGGATATTCAGTAATCGGAATAATCTATTACCCGTACCCCCATAAAACTTGTTATTTTTACTTTTTCTCACACAGGGCAGGAACGGATAACACTCAAGCAAAAGCAAGTGCCCTAAATCAGTTTTGTTCCGACTAGTTGAATTCTATTTTTCCCGAAAGTTATCGTTATCCGCGATAATGGGGAATTACACTTGACGTTGTTTCGACTTACAACTTGCGAATCACATTTTCATTTTTGTCTCTTGAGTAGTTTTAGCTTTCTAGCCTTACATACAATTAGTGAAGCCCGAAGATAGGTGTTTGTCTGAAGTGGAATATCATACATGCGGAATTAAGTAGATGGAGAACATGGTATTCACAATCTGAGGCCAGAGAAGACTCAATTTTCACCACACAATCGACGAATCCCGAAATTTTTCATCACAGAATCACGAATCCAGAAATTTTTCACCACAGAAAGTGATTCGACGCAAAATGCCAAAACGAAATTAATAGTCCCTCTGGGCTAACGTCCTTTGGGCTAAAAATAAACCTAATTAAATGCTTATGAAACTCGAATTCTGTCAGCATTAAGTAAAAAAAGTACTGAGGTAAGGGTTTTTTTAAACTTAAGGGGGAAGGAATATAACAAATTTTGAAAACATTAAATTCATGTTTTAAAAAAATTCCATAAATTACTTACCTGGTCATCATGTTCTGTGTCCACGAGATAAACTCTACATTTTTCACATTGAAGTAACTCCTCTGCTTTGACCATGATTTTATTGATAAGGCGATCCAAAGACGAGGTCTCTTCAAATATAGATTTGGCCAGGCTAAGTAAAAGCTGGAAAATGAAATGAACAGTTAAGAAACAAACATATATTTAACACAACTTTAATATGTATTTCAAAATCAACAGAAAGTAACGAAATCCTCATATAAATCAAACTTCGTAGCACTAAGTGAATGTTTAAACTATAAAAAAAATATATCCATGCAATATGAAGAGTGTTTACATTAATCTAAATTCATCAAGCCGGATTTTGATAACAACATAAGTGTAAAACTAGGCGCACAATACACTGCGATGGCATATGTAAAATTTCATACTAATTTTACTACTTCCGATTTCCAAAGACTATTAAAAATCGGGCAGATAATTCATACAATGTAATATTAAGAAACATTTAAGGCGCTTAAATTTGTTGTCCTATTTGCAAAAGTTCCAAAATATCGAAAACTTTTGCAATATTTGGATTGCTGTGCTGGCAGGAATATTGACGTAGTAATTTCCTTCCTTCCACAAAAGTAAGTTTTTAAAATTTATTTATATTTTTATTAGGCCTGCCTCTGAGGGAAAATTAGCCACATGTATTTTAAATAACTCTGTTTTTCATATTATAATTTTGAAAGTAAAAGAGTTACTATAGGCTTTCCTCAAATATAAATATCTTACCTTATTCGAAGATCCTTTATCAGAGGACTATGCAGGCTTTCTGACAACGAGGAGTTTAAGAGAAGCTTTTTCCTTTTAAACGTTTTCTTAACTGGAATGAAAATTTCCATTGCTTTCTTTTCATTGCAGTGTTACACGCTGCAACTACAATTTATTTCACTGAATACGGCATAGAAAGTTATAGCTGAAAAGTGAAAGTAGTCCATTGATCCTTGAAAGTAACCAAGGAGAAGAAATGAAGTCGTGAATGTGAAAGCGAAAATAACAAACCAACTACAGATATTGTACTTGACGGTTTCAGAGCTTACAAGAACATATGGTTTCCAGACAGCACGCCATAATGAAAATATGAAGTAGAATAAAAATAAAAATTCAATTAAAAATTAAAAAATACAATCTGAAAGGACTCAGGATTTTAACGGACGACCAAAAGGGTTTGTTAACGTATTTTTACACACTCGCTGAGCTTGCAGTCTACTAGTCTTCTGTTGCACTTACTCCTGCTAATGCATTTCTTTTTGTCTTTTTAAATTATTAGGCACATTTTTTTTTTCGCTTTTACGCCATATACAATTTAACATCAAACTTAGATAAATGATAAAAGCAGCGTATGTTTAGAATTCCCAATGAAGTGTTGGCATACATTTTTTTAATATTTTCCCCAGTCTTTTCTCAGTTTATTATATCAATGTAAGATTTTCGTAGCAAGATGACTTGCACAAAACGTTTTTTGGTGTTTTTATTAATAATATTTTGGGTGTTAAATTTATTAATTAAATATCATATTCTTCGCAATTACGCCAGATAAAATTCAGTTGAATAGCAAGATCACAAAATATTAAAAAATAACATATTTTTAGAATTTCCGATATACATTCCCGCGCGATAAGAATGATAATGTTTTAATGCGTACAGTGTTGCCACTGCTTACTTTCAGATCGTTGAAATGGTTAAAATTTCATTAAAGTTTTACAAAATATAAAATATAAAATTCGAAATTAAAAAATTCGAACTTTCAGGTGCACATATTCGGGTAGAGGACTGTTTTCAAAATTTGATGGCCTTAGGAAACGTCGTTCTTCCACAGTGCGAGAAACATACATATATTCAAGCAGATTCTTCATTATTTAATTTCTTTAAAAGTAATACAGAGCGATAATATTTCCTGGCAGTAATTTCAAAAATGATTCAGACATTTAAAGTGATAAGCTACCAAATCCCGTTTCGGGAGTGACAGCCCTTTTGGGCTAAAAATGATAAACATGATTTTCGAGCGCTGCAAACGGATGTGCAATCATTTTAGACGGAAATAAAATTCAGACTTCTGAATGAAATAACAATAAATGAAAACATCTGGAATCTGAAATATTCCAAAGCAGTTAATTAAGAATAAAAAAAGAAGAAGAAATTTAAATTCTTTTGAGATGCCCGAATATTCTGAATAACCACAATGTTTTTCATTTTAATTTATAACAATAGATGGCAGCACCAACAGAAGCAAATTCCTCCTAATGGAAAACTGATGTTTTTACGCCTTCGGTATTCCGAGAGCGCTGTGCCAACAACACAATAGGCCCTACATACTGAATAAATTGAATAAACAATTAATTTTGCGAAAAATAAAAAATAAAATTAAGTTCTGTAACAGTTGAAGAAAAAATACGACTAATTTTTTGTTTTTGATTCTAAAAAATATGATTAGTTAATCATATAATAACAACTTATTATTCAAAGTTTAAATAAGACTTAGACAGATCTATATTACGGAGCTATTACAGGCGCAACGTTGCCGGTTTCATAAATTAAGGCCAAGGCCACATGACATAATGAATTCTGGAAATGGAAAACATCTCGGAAGAGAAAACGGAGTACGGAAAAGTGAGAGGGGTTACCAAAAGGAAAAAGGCATCTGGCAGGTGAATGGAACTTGACAAGATGAAGAAAATCCGAACGGATCCTTGACAATTCAGAGAAATGACAAATGCCAAAAATGATTCAAAATACTATACAACAACAACAAAAGTTCCATACTACTACATAACTACTCAAATTCAACCCATACAACAGAAAATCAACACACAACAGTCATTACAACGTCACACTAGCAAATCCAAACAACTTAAAGCACAGCACAGTCTTCATCAGATAAAATGAAAGAAATTACAGGCACCAAGTGAGGAGCAAGAGAAGAAGCAGTGTCCTCATCCCATGAAGGTGTGAGCTGCAAGTGGTCTTATGTTGCAGTCTTCATTGAGTATTTCGTAGTTGAAGACTTGAGAATAGTTCACATAGTCGCATTGGACAGCTTTAGAGAAGAATTTATCATTTGTTCTTTTAATAAATTCTGTGATGGTTTCAAGCTTAAGATCTCTGTGAAGAAGTTCATTTCGGATGAGAAAGTCAGCATCAGTGATAATACGAAGAAATTTATTCTGCACTACTTGAAGTTGATGTAATTGATTAGGAGAGGCAGTATTCCAAGCAAGAGATGCATAACAAGGAATAGGTCGGATACAAGTAGTATAAATATGTCTCCTGATTCTAAGGCTAAGACCAGAAAAATTTCCAATTACTGGAAGAAATCTGCACATAATTCCAATGGCTTTATTTTTAACATTCTTAATATGGTTGGTCCAAGTGAGATTATGGTTAAGAATCACTCACAAGTATTTGGATTTTCTAACGAATAGAACAGGCTCTTGAAAAAGGAAAAGTTCTTTAAACTTGGTGCGTTTTTTTGTTTTTGCGAAGGATTAAAAGTTGAGACTTACTGGCGTTAATTTTAATTCTCCAATTGGTGCAACAGTCCTATACAGTGTAAAGAAATTCTTGCATTTTATCAATTGCATGATTAGCTTTGATAGATTTGATGGCTGTCGCTGTATCATCGTTTAAATAAGTTCGAACAGTCTCCCTTTTAACCGGCAGCACTAAAATAGCAAGAATGGTTAACATTGTTTCATTATCTATATTCAAGCCTTCTTTTCAAAGGTAATTGACTCAAAATCAGTTCTTCAGACTAAAATGTTCCAAGCAGAAATAAATTATTTATTACCGTATATATTTTAAAAATTATATATTTATTAAAATTTTAATTAAAATAAAGTTATAAAATTTCTAATTTATGGGATTGGATGGGGAAGGGGCTTCATTTCTCTTTACCCTCATCATTTAGAAAATACTTCCAGATATTATTTCAATAATTCAGTTCTCGAGAAAATTTCCACAGCCGTATCTAGTTACACTGCTTTATACTGGGGAATAGGTCAGAGCAAAGCAAAATGGTTTAACTATACTTCTTATGGAAACCGAGTCAAATGTCTACGCGATGATACGAAGTTCAGTACTTTAATTTCTAAAATAAAAAAAAATTTGCTGTTAGATGAAGGACAGATAATATGCCTCCCTTTCTTCTTTTCTTTTTTACAGCAACAAAAGCAAGCACTGAAGAATTAGTTGCAAATAAAATCCATCATATGAACTTATGATAAATGGTATCTTAGATGATATATTGTAGTTGATGATATTATGTTTAATTAAACGGATGCTAAGCGACATCAGTCAAATGGCTGAAAATTAGATGAGTGCACCATACACCATGAAATGCAAAGATAATTATAGCCCAAATAACAGATTTAATTAGATGAGATTCCATAAGCTTAAGCGAAGTAGACCTCTTCAAAGTACAGTAATAAAACAGAATACATTCTTCAAGACTAGATGCAAAGCAATAATAGTCAAGAAAAAGGGCAAGTTTGATGCCTTTAAATATATTCCTTCTCTGTGCAATTTATTCTGTAAAAAATTGCCAGCTTGTTTTACTCTTCTTTTATAAGGTTCATAATATCACATGTCAGAAGAGGGTAATTATTAACATGTTTTTGTCTCTAATTTATCTCAAGGCCTCAATCACTCTTTCAATATACAACCTAGACAGGATGTTCTGAGGACATAATGGGATGTGTTTAGGAGGTTACTGGGATTTTCCCTGATGCAATAAGAAGAATTTTAAATCCTATTAACATCCCATACGCTGTCGATGGGACCTAGATACGATGTTTTGAGAATATAATGGGATGTGCTTAGGAGGTCAGTTGGATATTTCGGGATGTCGTAAGGATGCAGTAGTAAGTAGGACTTCAGATCCTGGCAGCATCCAATATGCTGTCGATGGGACTTTGTTAGGATATCCTGAGGATATACTGGGATACTTCACAGTCGGTAGGATGTGTTTAGGAGAATATTCCAGGATGTCTTGAGGATGTGCGCTTATCTCGCGAACAACATCCTTAGGATATCCCGAGGGTGTTTTTATGCTATGTGGGGGACGATTGTAATACTGAAACGGTTGAATAATTTGATTGGGCACAAAATGATCAGCTCCATTT